CCCCCACCTCGAATTTTTTCACTTTGATGTTCCTTCTCTTCTGTGAAGCCTGAAGTCAACTAAAGGGCTAATGATGACTATCAAAACGCCTGCCATTGGATATAAATAAATAAAATAAATATTATACGTGATATATTTTTTTTCGTAAATATAAGTAAACATTCATCATAACCGCAATGAGAATTTCAATGTAATAGAACTGGATAATTATACCTTATTTCATAATAAAAAGATAATAAATCCCGATAAACAAAATTGCCTTCTATGCTCATTTTATTTAATAATAAAAGTAAAATGGTAATAAAATCGGGTGTCCTACGTTGTTGTCATGACATTAGGAGTTTTGAATAACTAAACAAATTATCTCGGATAAATGCTCTTCAAGTGTATGTCAATGAAGCATGAAAGAATACTTATAGAGAAATTATTTCAGCGCTTTTATAAAGCCATAATAATCGAAAATTATAAATAAGGCAGCAATTTATGGCTGCATCTGAATTACAAAATGCGGAATTTCATTAAAAAAAACTGGCATTTTTTTAAATTTGATTTACAACAGACTTACATGTGATTTTTGTGGAAATCCATTACACGCCGAAGTCGATCATCATTCGGTTCGTGAAGGATTTTCAAATTTCGCAAGTAGCTAATATCTCTGTATTCCTCCTTTATGAAGTCGCCGATTTCAGCTAGATTAGGAAGAATAAATCACCGTTAATAATTTTTTGACATTTTAACAATAGAGTAAGGAAAGTGAGAAAGGCTAGGGATTTTTTGGGAATATGTTTTCATGGTTTTAAAAGCCTTTCGAGGTGCTATGCATTAATTTATTGCCATAGTCTAAGATGCTTTTCTGGTATACAGTGGTGCAATCGGTCCTATCTTTGAAAATGCTCAAAACAGCTAAACAATTCTCCTACGTATGGCCTTGTGCCTGGGAAACTGTGAGAGAAACAATAGTGCTTTACTTTTCACTAAATTCTGTATAAAGTTAGCCAAAGCAATATTCTGAGCACAACAAACTTCGCCTTAAATGACTAATATCATATTAATAGCATGGTATTTTATTATATACATGATTTCACAGCAAGTGAGATCGAATTAACTTTCCACTAAAGCAAAATGCGACAAAGTAGGATTGAGTAGGTGCGATAACCCCTAATTTCACCAAGAAATGGGTTGTCCAGCACTCATTTGGAGTAGATTATTAGCATCGTGATAAGTAATTCGAATTCCCTGTACTATTGATTAAGCAGGTTGGCAAATAAATTCACTGGGTGTGCACTTGCTTGAATTGAACCCCTGTCAGCCGACTTCCCAGACACAGGTTTGTGCAAGTTAAAGGGAAGGAACATTCCGAAATAACTGTACTGGAAATGTAACATTAATTCCTTGAAAACTCCAAGTCACATCAAGGCATTTCACGGCATTGCGATTTTAACCTTCATTGTCTGTTGTCCACCTATTCATTTTCTTCCGCAACGGGCATGAAAGCCAATCAGTGGTAATATCAACGGCAATGATTGGGTCAATCTTCTTCAATCACTAGGCACCAAACATTGCTCAATGGATGCTTAAGAGTGAAGGTGTGATTATCTTTTTCTGCTCTCTGAGATCAGATCAACTATTGCCTTACAAATGGTGATCGAGTTCTATATTACGACTATTACTACTTAAATTTAAACACCATTTTCAATAGCTTACCTTGTACTATGTAAGAGCCTAAAAGTGCGGCTGTATTTTCACTGCATATCAGAACACCAGTCACCAAATCTCGTTTAATTTGCAGCGCGAAGAGGTATCTACGGTAAAGAAAAATAGGGAGAGTAGTTGAAGGCTAAATATGTGAAGAAAGTGGATGGTAACGTCCGAAACTGGAATTCCGCTTTTACACGAGTAGGCAAGTGTTAGAACATATGTGAATTGGAATTCCTACACTTGAAGGCACTAATATTTCACAATATGCGTGTCCTTCAAATGTTGGCAAATGGGGCTCACGAATATGGAGCGAAATATGCACACAATAGTCTCCCCAAAACTAGCTTTTTGTTCATTCAATTAGTAAAATTCAATTGACGACTAAGCTAAACATCGCTAATAAAATTGAACATTCCTAAGTAAGCCTGCTCCTTCTTGTTTCAAAATTAATGAAATAATCAGTTTCAATAGGGGTTAAAATACTTTTCGGCGAGTGTACTTTCTTCGAAGCACTTATCTCCTGTTAAATACAGACGTCACGAGATGAATACTTGTTGGTGCCCATGGAACCTTGCTGGGCAAATCTACCCAACAGGAGCAGTAGAAAGATGCATTCTGCTTTTCTTTTGCTAGATCAGTGACTAGGGGAAGTCTAAAATAAATGAAAACCGCAAGTTTCTCAGCCAACGAATCATCAGAATACCAACTCATTTCAGAATAAGCAATGAAATCGAGTTTACTGACAATATGCGTAAGAATTACTCTTTGTGGAAATACCTAGACTTTCGATTTTACGCAAATATGATCCAAACCACTGTAGGTCATCTCTGAATGAGGTGATCGATTCACCTTTTCATCAATAGCTGCCTCATATCGCTTAAAAGCATATTCCCCTCATGCCTCACACGCGGCCTTGGCAAAGTGAACGGCTAAAACTGTTTCCATGCTTCACCAAACACGTACACACATGATTGTCAGTTTTCTGCTTGCATGATTCCCACTGTACCACACCACTCTACTCTCTCCCCCTCTCCCTCCCTCGTTTTCTTGAATCTTCATCCTCTTTATTTAATACGCTTTAACCTACACCCCTCTTAGTGCTTTGCTGATTAATATCTATTTAGTGTTTTAAGTTTCTAGTTGATACACTGGCAAGGTCCATGAGTTCATTTCAAGTATACTATCATCTTGTTAATCTTCTCTATTTACCTCCAATGGAACTGTCTTAAACTTATATACCAATGCCGGTCGTCTTCCGCTTCCTCTCATTCTCATCAGAAAGTTTTCATAAACGTCTTAATTTTGCTTAAATCAAAACGCCATGTAAAATAATAGTAAGATTTTAAGTATATCTCGCAAACAGCCATCAATGCATAATATCAGATGATTGGACTCCTGTGGACTTTTACCGAATATAATTATATGGGGCAAAAAGATGGCAATTGACATCACCATTAAAATTGTGGAAGAAGAAAGGTGATGAATCCTCTAAATTTCACAATAAGACAAAAGTATCCCCTATTTGCTTGTCTGACCTAGTAAAGAAAAAGTCTTTCGCATTTACTTTTAAAGTGACACAATCCAACCCTCATTCGCAATCGAATTCCAGTGACAGTGGTTTTATGAGTAAAAAAATATGCAAAATAAGAAAATAGAACTATATTAGAAATCCGAACAAGCTAGGTTTGGAGATGTCCATTAACCAAATTAATGGAGTTCGTAAGAGCCAAAAGGCAGAATAATTGAGTGTAGGGCACAAGTGAAGGGAAGAGAGGGTAAGTGAGAAATGAATAAGTAGAGGAGTGAGGGTGAACTGAAGGCGAGTACTGGCAAGGGAATCAAATTACGGTCTGCTAAAGTGGAATGACTGATTAGTGTTAATTGCTCATCTGATAAACGGTCAATGTAAATAATCAAAAGATCGTTTTAATAATGTAGACATGAGATAGCATGTGTGCTTGTAGGAATGCGAAGGAGGTCAAACCGCTTCGACAGGTGTTTGCAAGTTATTACTCTTTAATGCGAAAGCAGCATAGACGTTGGCAATGCCTCATACTACCAATTATTTGGGGATGGCAACCAAGCCAACCTTCAATTTTTTTGCTAACTCTTCCAGTTTATTCGTTAAATGTTTTACGAGACTAGAGAATTTATGGAACGAGAAAACTTTTGACACCTCGAGTAAAAGCTCTGACTGAGCATTGAAGTAAATGACATTAACGAGCGTACTTAATATTAGAAAACAGGCGTCTCAGTTGCTCAATAAAGCCAACAAACCAAAGTTAAATCATAATGCTCATTAACACCGATAATTTGTTAAGCATGAGGTAGGCAATTAAAGATCTTGAATTGCCATTAAATTTTAAAGTGCGATATTTACCTTGTATATTCTTCTTCAAGAAGGTTTGGATGGGGTGTGTAAAATTTAACACAAAAGCGGAAGACTATGTCTTTTCCATGAGCAGTTTGACGCAACAGGGGTCTTGTATGATCCATCCAGCACTGAAAATTGAAATTTAATTTGAATTTCATTTAATTGATATAAATTTACCAGATTAACAAAAGAATTTTTACCCTGATTCCATCTTCATTCATAAATTCCAGGTCAAAATAATCCGATTCGAGAATATTAAATTTGCGCATTACTTGAACGTAGAGTTCAGCACCGCTAGCGTGGTGCTGAAATTTGAGAAAGATTGATGAAATTGGTTGGCAGTTTAATGATCATAGTTAATATATACTCACGGGAAGAATAAAGTTGTGTACTGTTTCATCGAGATGCAATACTCGGACGTTAATCGTTTTGATTTTCTTCTCAACAACAGCCGTTTTGTCAATAACATCAATCGTCATGTTGGCAAATACTTGCTTAAATTCTGAATTAATAAAAATTCAAATTGGACGAATATCAAAATAATTTAATTAATTTCTACATCAGCAGTTAACCAGAAATAGCTCTTGACAAATGCCAACAAAACCATTATTCATAGAATTTAATTGATAAAAAATATTTTAAATAAAATGAAAAGAGTCTAAATATGTAGCAAAACAAGTAATGTAACGACAATATCCACTTAAAAATAAAATCCATTTAACTTTCGCTAAAATGAAATATACATAAAAGAGTTATAAAGGCTTGAAAATATTTCATTTTTAATATGGGATGAAGTCAAACAAATGCAATTTTTTGGAAATTTAATGTCAATTTACTGATATCTCATCATTTTAAAAAATGCCATTCCAAAGGGCGGTTATCCTTGATGTGATTGGATGATTATAACAACTATCAAATTAAAAAAGCATTTTTATTTCAAAGTTTATTCATAAGATAAAACACAATTACATAAGTATGAATCTTGTTTCATGTTATTATGCAAATTTTTGTGCGATGATTTTAACTCAACTCTCACTTATGAGATCTGGCGTAGCAAATTTTCCCGCAAATAATTCTCAAAAATCAAATTGATTTAATTGAGAGCATAATTACCATTAATGTATTTTTATATCAAAAAATAATTTAATACTCTTGAGTTCGAGAAAAACTTACGTATTGGATGTTGTTAAATATATTTGTAAATAAGTGAATGAATACCACCAGAAAATATGTTGAACATATTTATTTATGTCAAATTTTCAAGATTATTAATATTTTTTGTCTTTTTATAACTTTATATGCCTGATTACCTATTTATCGTGATGTATCATACCTACTTATTCTTAAACAATTTCTACGATATCCCTATTACATTTTAACGAGTAAACAATTTATTATGCTCTCCAATTGCCATCACTACTTATGAATTATTTATTTAATTCAAATGGCAGGTGGTTTGATAGTTATCATGGGTTATGCGATAGACTTACCTCTACCTGATGCACCCTGGGCAACATATACTCATACTGCAAAAAAGTCTAATAACTGGCAGTTGACTTCTGACGTCAAACTACCCTCACCCCATTGTATGTCATATTCGACTACTTTTGTGTCTGTCTCTTTTACATCTTTGAAGCTCTCTTCTATTCCACCTCTCCCTCTCGACTTGTTTCAATTTGATGTTCCTCCTCCTCTGTGAAGCCTGAAGTCAACTAAAGGGCTAATGATAACTTTCACAACGCCTGCCATTTGATATAAATAAATTGATAGGTATCATTAGCTTTTTAGTTGACTTTGCGCTGCACAGAGAGGAGGAACATCTAAGTGAAAAAGAGTTAAGTGGAAGAAGAGAAGATTGTTTCAAAGATGCAAAAGAGATACAGCCACAAAGCCAGAGAAAATGTAAGATGAATCCTGTGGAAGTGATCGAATATGACCTACAGTGGGGTCATGGTAGTTCGGGGTCAGAAGTCGACTGCCAGTATGAGCATATGTTGCATAGGTTGCGCCACATCCAAATAAGCCAATCGCGCACCACAGTTGTTATTTATAAATGATTAAATTTAGCCTAAAGACTATGAACATTTATATTGTTTAAGTCGTTTTATTTAATTATATATCATAAAAATGGTTTTGCAC